TTTTCAATGATAGTTCATAGCATGATGATTGACAAGGATCATGAACATATGTACATGGATTCTGGTTACTAGTGGATGCCTCAGAAGTATAAAATCCAGATATGTCTAGGTGAGGACTCTTTTGAAAACTTGCATTAGAAGCCTGTTTTTTCACCAGCAATTGCTCTAAAACATAAAATAGTAAAAACTAATGTTTAGACTACCAACATGCTTTTATGCATACAATTGCATTACAGTGGAATAAGCTGTTATTTTTATTCCCACATAGAACAGACTAACTGAATCAAGTGAAACTTGGTAACTGCATCGTTTGTATGCTTCACTGATTCAATGCATCTACTTGGGACAGAGATGGATTTAGGCCGGTATTTTCCACTTGACATACTGAAAGTAATGAATGCATAGCAATACATTTAGAAGAGAAATCAAGATAAAGGGCCTTTGCAGACTGCCAGAAATAGTGCTAATTGAGTCCATTTTAACTGCCTTGGCTCAGTGCTAGGGAATCATGGGAATTGTATTTTTTTCTGAGACATTGCGCCTTCTCTGTCAGAGAGCTCTGGTGCCACAATAAACTAGTTCCAATGATTCTCTAGCACTGAGTCAGGGAAGTTAAAGTGGACTCAATTTGCACCATTTCTGGCAGTCTGCAAAGGCCCACAGTTTCAATATGAAGCAATTCACTAACATGTATCTATGTCATGTGTTAGAAAGCCTGTTTTCATAATTCTTGTTGCATTTTTTCTTGTTATTATCATATGAGACAGCCAAACTAATTACAGCGTCCATCCACAGAGGTTTGGTTCCAGGCCTCCCTGCAGATGGCAAAAAACAATGGTTGCGCCCCATATTATTCAATGGCAGCAATGCACGCATGAATGCGTCAGCACATCCGCACCACCAGTGAATAATATGTGTAGCAATCCACAACCAGTTAAATCTGCAGATCACCAGCCTGCTGATATGAAGGGTCCACTGCATAACATTGGATGTATTTTGTACTTTACAAACATTTAAAAAAAAAGATGCAGCCAGCAACTGCATTAATCTCTAAGCAAGAATGGGACCGTAGCAGGCAGAGAGTGTGAGTTTATTCCTCCCCCTGCCTTCAGAACAAAAAGCTGTGTTGTTATTTGTACTGGAAAATCTATCATTGTTTTCCTACAATCTCTATGCCATGTGTGAGCAACAACACTAGCCCAAGGGCTCAGTTTTCTACCCCAGTACTCTCCAGGAGACACATGGATGACCAGATTTCCAGACAAAACAAGCCAAATGTTTTCAGAAATCTGGTTTTTAAAAAAATTTTTTAAAAATATTAAACAGCACAGAAGGTCCCTGAAGCCTATTAAAAGGAAAACTGACAATCCCAGAGGTTTCTATGAAAGGCAATTCACTCCTTTGAGGACTTAAAAAAAAAAAAGGAAGGTTCCAGAGAATTTATAGCTTCTTTTAGATCACATGTGGTCCCTGGGCCATGCTTTGCCTGACCTGCATTAGTGAGAAGGAGAGCAGGCTTCTCAACTGCAATCTTGGCAGGCTCTACAGCTCTTAATCACTATTTTTAAAAAGTTAATTTTAAATGGAAAGATGCACTTAATGTCACGTTGTTTGGCCCAGTATAATGGCAATAACCAGGATGACGGGGTCATGAAGGACATGTACAACAGTCAAAATACTTTTCTCCTCTGTACTAAAAATTATCTTTCAAGTTTTAAAAAAAGATACTTCAAACTGGACCTTGCAAACCTTCTGGTATTTTTTTCCTCCTATGAAAACCTAGTACCGTATTTTCTGGCATATAAGATGACCCCCCGATTTTTCCAGTTAAAATATAGAGTTTTAGCACATCTATCCTCATCCTTATATCCGGCGTATAAGACGACCCCCCTACTTTAGCCACAGATTTTGCAGGTAAAAAAGTAGTCTTATACGCAGGAAAATAAGGTAGTTTATTACACTGGAACAGATGTTGAAGAATACAGCACAGATTCACCTTTTAGTAGACTATACAAGCCAATAAAACTTTCAAAAAAGTATATAGTCACAAACCTTTGTTACTAGTTGCTTTTGCTATATATTTCCTTCTGTCTTGTAATTTCTCTCTAGTCTCTTGTACACTCTCAAATTCTGGAGCATAGCACACATGCAGCAAATTGCCAAAGAAACTCCGTTCATCCAGCTTTCTTTTGGCTAACCTAAGAAAGAGCAAGTTATAGTCAAAGATTAATAAGGAACATTTAAAATCTTTAATGACATCACAGAAACTGGTGTGCTAGTTTCATGCGCGTACTACAGTGGTTAGTAAAACAATATTGAACTAAGGATTGTATGGGAAAATGAATACAAGTTATCACCCCCAAATTAGGAATACCTTGCACTTTGTATTTTTTGGAACTTGATCAGGTAAACCTCTGTAAATTCTTCTGCTGGATAGTCATCTAATGGATTATATTCTTCAATGGTGCCATACAAAGCAAACTGCTCAACTAATTCTTTCATAACACCCAAGGCTGGGACACCTTGTATTAAGAGATACCGGGATTCTAAATTCACAGTATATACCTGAAAAACATAGCAATATTAATACTTGTTAATGTATTAATACTTGATGTATTAATACTCAGTCTCAAATACTTGCTTATCAGAATCTTATTTAAAATGTGTAAGTGTAAAAATCTGTGTTTGATATAGTTGTTTGCAGGAACAGCACAGGCAGTGTGAAGCAATTCATAAAGTGTTTTTAGTACAGTATTATAGAGTAGAAACAGAAATCAGTTGTTTAAATAGTAAAGCACTGACTAAGAAAACTAGTTTGGAATATGCAACACTGAAGCTGACTCAAACACAACTTGTAAAATAAAAGCATAACAACATATCCAACAGCGCATGCCAGTAACCAGATCTTTGTGTTAGCTTGTAATGGGCTGTAGTAAACCTGCCTTGGAGAAAGGCAAATACCAAACCCCTTTTGAACAAATTTTAGCAGGAAAACGCAGTAACAGTAGCATCACCATAAGTCAGAGGCTGTATCTGCATTGCAGAAATAATCCAGTTTGACACCACTTTATCTGCCATGGCTCAATGCTATGGAATTCTGTGAACTGTAGTTTTGTGAGACATTTAGCCCTGTCAGAGCTCTGACAGAGAAGATATGACAAACTACAATTCCCATAACTTCATAGCATTGACCATGGTGGTTAAAGTGATATCAAACTGGATTATTTCTGTAGTTCAGATGCAGCCAGAAACTACTTGAAGGCACACAATGTCAATAGTAAACCTAACTGAAAATCAACTGCTTAAAAAACTAAAAAGTAATCTACCAGTATTGTTTCTTTAGAGCCAAAGAGCCAAGTACTAAAGTTATTATCCTCCTGAGACAAGTTAGCTAGACACCAAAACAGGTGAAACTTCAACACTGAATACTAAAATTAGTGCTGCTACAGAAAACAGATAAATACCATGATTCACACCTTTAAAAAGTAAAAATTCTTTTTGATGGGCGGATACACACATTAATGGGAGAAAGTTATCAACAACAGACACAGCCAATTAAAGAAAACCTCTGCACTTAGAAATTTAGCCAATGAAGGTGGAGAGCCAGCGTGGAATCATGGTTTGAGTTTTGGACTACAGCTCTGGAGACTAGGATTGAGTCCCAGCTCCGCCATGAAAAACCCACTGGGTGATCTTGTGCAAGTCACATGCTCTCAGCCTCAGGGGAAGGCAATGTTAAAGCTCCTCTGAACTAGTCTTGCCAAGAAAATCCATGATAGGGTCGCACTAATTAGGAATGACTTGAAAGAACTGAACAAACAACAATCCCAGAACACCAAGCACTGAGTCTTTGGAGTTTATCACATGGGCAAAAGAAACGGGATATTAGCGCTATGCTCATGCAATATCCTGTGAATATCACGCACTAATGCAATGGTTTTCACACATCATTATTGCACGATTATCCCATGAATAAAGTGGCAAAATTGCACCACTTTTTATTCATGGGATTTTCCCAAAAACAAAAAGCGGTGCGATTTTGCTGCTTTATTCACATGATAATCACAGAATAATGACGCCTCATGACGTTGTATAAACAGCCTCACGTTATTGTGTGATATTTACAGGATATTAACGGGAGCATAGGGCTAATATCCCATTTCTTTTGCCCATGTTATAAAGTCCATAGTGTGAATAACAGAAGGCACTCCTGCTTTCGTTCTTTACTTGAGGACTTCTTTTAGACACCCAACCCAATGCAGAAAGTGAAGTGTGTGTGCATGCTGTGTGCCCTCAAGTCGTTTCTGACTTATGGCAACCCTAAGGCAAACCTATCATGGGGTTTTCTTGGCAAAGTTGGTTCAGAAGAGGTTTGCCATTGCCTTCTCATGAGGCTGAGAGAATGTGATTTGCCCAAGATCACCCAGCAGGTTTCATGGCTGAGCTGAGAATTAAACCCTGGTCCCCAGAGTTATACTCCAGCACTCAAACCACTACACCAAAATACACTACTAAGGGTGACCAGATGTCCTCCTTTCCCAGGACACGTCCTACATTCCGGCCTTCTATCCTGGAGGCTTTTCAAACGGTCTTCCATTTTGAAAATGATTAAGAAGCATGCATTTGTAATTTACATGACTGTTTTAAGCTATTGTTTGGTCATGTCCCACATTTTTTTCTTGAATGCCCCACGTTTTGTGGTGCCTTGTCGTTCTTTGCGCTTAGGACACATGGTCACCTTGTTAATGGTATCACTTTGAGAGTTTTGGCGCCATATTCATGTTCTGGTCCTATTCCATATATACGGAATATATAGGCCGTAGCTGCATCTATGTCTGGAATATATACGGATGTATATTTATTGTGCGCCTTAAATTCTTTCCCAACTTATGGCGACCCTATCGTGGGGTTTTCTTGGCAAGATTTGTTCAGAGGATGGCCATGGCCTTCCCTGAGGCTGAGAGAGTGTGACTTGACCAAGGTCACCCGTAGAGTTTTCATGACCGAGCTGGGAATCGAACCCTGGTCTCTCCAGAGTCGTAGTCCAACACTCAGAACACTACGCCATACTGGCCTTTAACCCGAAGAGACGAGGAGCCCAAAGAAGGAAAAGGACAGAGAGAGGAACAGCCACGACGCCTTTCCCCCGCCTCAGTTTTACCTTCACGGCGCGGGGCCTCCGTCCCTCGCGATACTTGGCGCGCGAGGCACACACGGACCGCTGCGCGTGGTGCTGGCAAGCGCCCCCAACATCGTCCCCGCCGCTGCCCTCAACAGCCGCCGCCATTTTCCCTTCGCGCGCCTCCTTTGCCGCACGCGCGAACCGTCACCTGTCCTCCTTCCCTCCGCCAATCACAGCGAGCCAATCCATTTCCCCCCCC